GCCGGTTGAGCTATAGGCGCCGAGCCTCTTCGTCTGAAATTCAAATCGAGCTGGATGCCCTGTATTTTTGTTTGCTACGGTCTCCACACACAAGTCCACCTGGTCACCAGGCTCCCCAGCTCTGCACCCCTAGTGCCCGGTTCAAATCCCTATGTGAAAGACATCACAGTGAGACACCAGCCGCCAGACCTGGGGCAATCTAGCCCAGGCCCTCTGGAGAAGGGCTTTATGGAGTGACCTCTTCACTGGGGGGCACACCTGCCGAGCATGGAGCCTGCACAGAAGATCATTCTGGTATGTTTGGTTGGATGCTGGCAAGTCCTGGGGCTTTGGGTTTCTGCAGTTGTTGAGGACCGGGCACACTCAGGATTCCCTTTCTCCGACAGTAAGCAAGCTAGTTAACAGATCTGAATCCTTTTTGAGAAGAGGCAGCATATTGTGGAGGAAAGAGCCTGGACTTTAGACTCAGACAGAAATAGGTTTGAAAACTCAGTTAGTTCTGCCACTTAATTGCTAGTGACCTCACTTGGCTCATTTAAGCCCTTAACTTCATTTGCAAACCATGATCACCATACATAATAATCCAGATGTACTGGCTCCCTATAGATGTCTCTTTCACATTCATGAAATCCCATCAAAAGGACACCAAAGGAGTAAGAAAGCCATTAATCCACCAGCACAATGGCCGGGCACAGTGATTCACACCTGTAATCCTAGCACTCTGGGAGGCCGAGGTGGGTGGATTGCTTGAGCTCACAGATTCGAGACTAGCCTGAGCCAGAGCAAGACCTTGTCTCTAAAAATAGCCGGGTGCTGTGGCAGGTGCCTATAGTGCCAGCTACTTGGGACGCTATGACAAATGAGTCGCTTAAGCCCAAGAGTTTGAGGTTGCTGTGAGCTGTGATACCATAGCACTCTACTGAGGGTGACAAAGTGAGACTCTTGTCTCAAGTAATTAAACAAATAAAATAAATCCACCAGCACAAAGAGGGCAAGATGAGGGAAGCACACAGTGAGTGAAAGATAAAAAGTTTGGAATGACAGAAGATGAAGAAAGTGCTTCATTTTTCAGAGCATCCTAAAGATCTCTGGGAGACCTCAATGAGAAATTTCACTCACAGAACTACAAAGAGTGTACCGAGTGTGTGGAAGTCCATGCATTGAACTGGGGGACCAGCATTGTAGGGTCTTCTTCTTAAATGTAGACAGGAGGCCAAAGCTTTCCAGGCTTGTTGGGAAACCCTGCAGAATGAAAAAGACAAAAACTGCTGGGCACAGTGGCGGTGGCTCAGGCCTGTAATCCCAGCACCTGGGAGGCCAAGGTGGGTGGATTGCCTGAGCTCACAGGTTTGACACCAGCCAGAGCTAGAGTGAGACCTCGTCTCTAAAAAAACAGCCAGGCATTGTGGGGGGTGCCTGTAGTCCCAGGTAGTTGGGAGGCTGAGGCAAGAGGATCACTTGAGCCCAAGAGTCTGAGGTTACTGTGAGCTGTGATGCCATGGCACTGTACTGAGGCAAAGTGAGACTCTTTTTGGGGTGGGGGAGGAAGAAAGAAAGAAAAAGACCAAAACAAACAGACCTAGAGGCTTGGTGCCTGTAGCTCAAGTGGCTAAGGCGCCAGCCACATACACCTAGGGTGGTGGGTTCGAATCCAGCCCCTTCCACCAAACAACAATGATGGCTGCAACAAAACAATAGCCAGGCATTGTGGCAGGTGCCTGTGGTCCCAGATACTTGGGAAGCTGAGGCAGCAGACTCGCTTGAGCCCAGGAATTGGAGGTTGCTGTGAGCTATGATGCCATAGCACTCTACCCAGGGTGACA